ACACAGGGGAGAGCCAGGTTGGGAGGTGTCCCGGGCTCTGCAGCCTGGCCTATCTGCTTTATGAGTGGCCAGAATTCGTCCCAACCCACCTTCGCCCATAAGAAAATCTTGACTGGGCGCTGGCTTCTTGAGTAAATGATTCTTTTCTCTACCGTAATTTGTAAGCCATACAATGATCCACAAAGAAATCAGAGCCGGGTGAGGGCAGTGCCTGTGTCTGACTTATCTACGGCCAAGTGTCTCATGCTTACCACATCCTAACTGCTCAAGTGATTATTTGTTGAAGAGATGAACGAATCAAATATAAGGCATAATTTTCTGTTCTGTTATTTATTTATTTATTTATTTTATTTATTTTCTTGTGGTGCCGAGAATTCAGTTTGGGACCTTGCACTTGCTAGGCAAGTGCCATGCCAGGAGCTATATCCCCAGCCCCTTGTGCTATTTTAGGCTAATTTCTAGAATGTGTTTCCCACGGTGTACTTAATATCTGTTTATAACTTTATCCTTTCCTCTTGGATCAGCACTGAGCATGCCTAGTTGCTCTTTCTCTTGACAACAATCCAAATATTAGAAGATGGTTTATCCTTTTTTCTAAGTCCTCTACCTCCAATGAATAACAAATGAACGAATAAGCAACAATTTGCCCACATCATTTTTCTGTCACCATATCTCCCCCTGTCCCTCTTGCCTTCCCACTAGAGAATTCAGAATAATCTTTTTTTTTTTTTTTTTTTTTTGGTGGAACTGGGGATTGAACTCAGAATAATCTCGTCTCAAGATCCTTTATCCCATCCATTAAACTCCTTTTGTCACTAAATTAATATATTGACTGATTTCACAGATTAGGTCAGTGCTCTTTAGTGAGCACCCTTCTGTGCACCACACATCCCCTGTGTTTGACTCCTCCTTCCCTAGGAATGCACCTTCTCTATGTATGGGCCTATGAAATAATACAGGAGCTGGATACCTAAGCATTTACGAGTGCTCTGATTTGAATCATAAATGTTCTACTCTGTCTGCACTTCAGTTTCAAGTCCCCGAAGCACATTTTGGGTCTTGTTCTTCTAAACCTAGCATGCTGTTTGGAACAAAACACAGTCTCAATATAAGTTAGCAAATTAATTATCCATTCATAATCCACACAATCTCTGGAGACTGCTTTTCTCCCACATTTTTTTCTATTTATACAGTCTTTTGCTTCAGCAAAATATAATGACAAATACAGCTGTAGTTTTATAGGCTATGTTTGTTCTTCACTGAATGTGGTAGTTGATACATTGTGTCAACTTGGCTGAATCAGCTCCCGCAGTTCCTAGGGGCCTGCCCTGGAGGCACACAGGGCCCAAACTGGAGCTCGATTGGTTCCTCCCTGGGACTCTTTTGGGCCCACACTGGGGTGCAATTGGTTCCACCCTGGGATTCTATTGGGCCTACACTGGGGTGCGATTGGTTCCACCCTAGGGCCATGGGCCACCCCAGAGTGACTCAGCACAAAAAGTATTTATAAAGGAGTTGAGGAAGGCTTCCCGGTCCCCCTGCCTGGCTTCCTTGGAGTCCCAGTCTTCGGAGGAGCTGGAGCTTCTTCGCAGTCAGCCTAGAAGAATGAGAGAGGCTTAATGGACGCCGCAGTGGTTGTTCCTCCTCTGATCTTCATTGTTTTCTGCCGCCAGGAACTGCTGTCGGTGGCCTTGGAGCCAGCAGAGTATGAACTGAAACTCCGCGAACTGTGAGCTAAATAAACCTTCCTTCCTTCATTTTGAGTGCCAGGTATTTTGTCCCAGCAACGAATGAAATAAGACACTGAAGTAAGCACATGCTGTGGATGGTCTTGGTGTATCTCCACAAAAGATGACGCTATGGTTTGAACATAGGTTTTTTTCCACTAAAAACTCAATATTGAGAGATAAGAATTTTAACAGGTGAATGGACATAAAGGTTCTGCCCTCACAAAGATACTGATGTTGCTCTCATAGAACTAATTCTCAAGAAAGTGACTTCTCGTTCTGGCCCTGTATTAGTTACTACAAGAGCAGATTACTTTAAAATAAATCCATCCTTTGTGTTTTGTCCCTTACACAGGTACCTGTTTATCCTTCTGCTTTTCTACTGTTATGAAACAGCACAAGATGCCTATCAGACACAATCATTCTTCCAACTTTCAGAACCATGAGCCAAGCCAGACATGATGGCATGCACTTGTAATTCCAGCACCCACAAAGCTGAGGCAGGAGGATTCCTGTGAGTTCAAGGCCAGTGTGGGCTGCAAAGTGAATTCAAGACCCTCCTGAACTGCATAGTAAAACCCTGTTTCAGAGTTTGGTTTTTTTTACCAAAAAAAAAACAAATTAGACTATAAGCCAAAACAAATCTTTATTTTTTTAAATACTCAGTTTCAGGTATTTTATTATAACAACAGAGACAGATTTAGAATATTAGAACAAATCTATCATGTGCTTTGGGCTTTTATTCCTAATTTAGGATAAGGTCTTTGGAACCAAGGACTTGGATACTGTTAGCAAGATAGTTCTATGATTGTATATCTCATTAAAACTTACATCTGTACAATACGAATAGCTCTGAGAATGTTCCACTTTCTGTATTCTCAGCAAAACACTGAGACCTCACACTTTCAATCCCCACTTTTACTATGTATAAATACAAATGCTTGGGCTGCACAGGGTTGCTGCCTCTCCATCAGAGGGCTGTGTCTCTCCCTGTCCCACCTTTCCTTTTCCTATATGTCTTGTCTTTTATTCATCCCGCATACCCCACTCAGGATTCTGTGGGCCACATGAGCTACAGCAGCTAACCTACTTTAGGTTATTTCTCAGTTAAACTCCCAACCAAATAAAGAGTAACACACCCATCACCAGGGAATCCATAATGGAATGTGCCTATAATCTCAGCATTCTGTGAGAGAGGAAGGCAGAAAGTTGGTGCCCAGCACAGGAAACTTGATAAGACCTTGTCTCAAATGTAAAGAGGACTGGCCTTGTGGCTCACTGTGAAGGTTCTGGATTCAATCATCGTTACCACAGGGCAGGGGAGGGACTGAAAAGGTCACCTGCAATTATGTTTTAAATTATTTGACCATCATCTAATGGCTGGAAATTTAAACAGTTTTTCCTTTAACATAACATGAAATTCACATTAGTCTAAGCAAAACTTAGCAAAAATGAATAACTTTTAAGTGACCTTTTCAATATAAATACAAAGATAATATGAAAATCAAATTTCTGTTTTGTTATGCAAAAGAATTCTGAAAATTCCTCCCGTGTTACAAATACTGTGCATTTTAAAATGGAAAGCAGAAGTTTTTAAAGAAATTTATTACTGAAGAAATAATGTAGGAAATATTTTGCAGAATGGTAGAACATTAATTTATGGCACTGTGAAAAAATACATCATGTTCTTAATAAGACGAATGAAAATAGGTGCACACCAGTGACCATTATAATGACGTTTCAGAAAGTGGAGATAAGAGGAAGATCCTAAAGTTTCTAAAGAGAAGAGCACATATGGGTCAGGCACAGCTGATCAAATGACTTCAGGCTTCACAACCGTAATACCAAAAGCCAGAAGGCAATATAGCAATACTCACAAAATTCTGAAGGAAAACGATTTCCAATTTTGAGTGAATAGTCTTATTATCAGTAGAAGTACTAACGTATGATAAGCAACCTCTTTTCAACACTAATGTTAAAGGTTTCTATCTAGATGTCCAAAGAGCCTAATGCTGTCATCAGAGGGTCTTTAGGAAGTGACTGGATCACAGGAGCACTACAGCTGACTTAGTATCAGGATGGGGGGCCTGATTAGAGGCAGGTGGTTAGGGGCCTGAGTTTGGCAAATCAAAAGAGCTTCCAGCTACCCTGCACCCCTGGGACCTGTTCAGTCCAATCCCAGAGGCAGCGTGAGTGAGACCTCTTCTGTACCCTTGGGACACTGCCATCACCATCCCACAGCCTCCCCCCCCCGCCCCCCCCGCATTCCCAGTGAATAAGAACTTCTGCCACGTTCTCGGGATCCCCAGATCCAGCCCTAGCCCAGGTCCAGTGAGTGTGTAGGAGAGCTTCTGATCTTCCCTACTCCCCTACTATCCTCATCCCCTTCAGACTCAGCTCAGGCCTGGCATACAGGCCTGGGATGAAACTCTGCAGCTGCAGTCTCTGCAGAGAGAGTAGGGGACAGAACCACCCACTAGTCCAGGAGCAGAACATCTTGCCAGAGGAGCACAACAGGTTCACTCTTAAGGGCTGCAGCAGGAAGGAGCTGAGCACAGCAGCCAGATTCAAGCCAGGTACAACTGGATAACTACAAACTTTGTAGATCTACACCCGAATTTCAGTAGGTGATAAGGTTATAACTGCACCAAAGCTCTACGACAAAGGTCAGAAGACAGTGCTATACTAAATGACACTGAGATGGAGAAAAATGCAAACTCAGACGCCAAGCCCACCCATAACAAGTGCAGAGAACACTAGCACAGAACAAATTGGGACTCACACAGCTGAAATCAATGAATTAAGAGCTTTTGAAATAAAGAAACAACTGCAGAAAGGTATACAGGAACTCAGATCAGAAATTAAAAAAAAAAAAATCCCTGAATTAATAGCATCTGCAGTAGAGAATCAAATGCAGAAACATATGGAGGAAAACCAATGCCCACCCAGAACAGGTGGAGAGGACCCTAGCTCAACTGAAATGTATGAATTAATACCATCAAAAGTAAATAAGCAACAGCAGAAAGATATAGAGGAATTCAAAGCGGAATTAATTTCCGAAATAAAAA